CTTTAAAATCTCGCGGATCCCCTACTACCCTTCCACGCAACAGCAAGGTTCCGTGGAACACCATTTGGGAACCGCTGATCTAGACGACGACAGGCAGCCGTCTGGCAGATGTCCGTCAAAATATTATGGAGTTTAATGAGAGTTGGGTTGTTTGTGCTGATGAGAATACAACCAGTAGAGGAGTACAGACTATGTTGATGACACACACGGAATCTCGAAAGAATAGAAACAGAAAATATAAATGAAATAATTCGAAGTGGTCTGTATTCTGTCGAAACTGCCAGACCCGGATCGCGATTTCGATCTTTTTGGATCTCATCAGCGCGTCGCAGGCAGCTCGGACAGAGCACAGATCAACTTTTACCTGCTGTCTTAACAGTGCGTTTTAGAAAATACTACAAATGGCGCAGTGAACGTCATCTGTAGCACGTGCTACATTTTAGGATTACGTATTATCCAACAAGGTCCACTTGTGTGAAAACGTTTTCAGCAAGTAGATATATATCCAAACAAGTGGACCTTGTTGGAGAATACGTAATCCTAAAAATGTAGCATCGTGCTACAGATGGCGTTCACTGCGCCATTTGTAGTATTTTCTAGAAAATATAAATGTTCAAGTGAGAAAACATTTATGTGTCCTCTCAAAAATGGTGTGATAAATTTTGCAACTTTGTTGTCCTGTAAGTCGGTTAACCAAATGCGTTCGTTACTTTATTTATTCGTACAGTGACAAGCTCCTTTTAATAATATCGAGATGTCCCATGCGAAGGATTTACGTTGCTTCTTGTGGCAATATTTTTTTTCCGACATCCACACACAGACACACACGTACTTCAGCTTTTGAGAGTAATAAATTTTCACACTTGTTTAATGGACAATTTTGCAATTGCGCTCTTAATTTTCCGGCCCACACTGCCCTTATTTGCAAGTAAAATGAGCGCCGGAATTCATCAACTGCACCCTTTCCTTTCAAGACCGGTCTTTCATGCGAAATGTCCACGGTTACATGCAACGAACCAATAAAAGTTTGAAACGCGTCGAAACTTCTGAACCACTGTTGAATATAAATTTTTATGACAGTTTTTTTTGCAGAACTCTTGCTTTGACGAGGTTATTTCATAAATTCGTTTGGATGTAGATAAAAAGGAATAAAAATCGCTAATGAAAATTTATCCTTTGAAATGGACGATCTAAGGTTACTTATTGCAGGGGGGAGGGTCAAAATTGACGAAACCTTTTCTGTAATTTTAAACTCCAATATAAAACTCGGTTCTGACTAATTTCAGTATGTATTTAATTTCAATATTTCCATCAAAAAATGGTGTTTTTGTTTGACTTTTAATCGCAACATTCTTATTTCAAGTGCTACTAAAAAAATTCTTTCAAGTTCTTCATAAGTATGTTCGATACTATAAAAGAATCAACTTTTCAATCGTCAAAATCGGTCATGAATTAGCCAATTAGCCAAACCAATATTGGCCAACTTTGACACCCCATAATGGAAAAACTAGTCTTGGTGGAATCCAAAAACACCACATTACTCAAGGACTTTTTCTACTTTATTTTAAACTATTCTGATTCATTTTCCCATCAAGTTTTTCTGAGGATTTAATCCTGCTATCAATTTTCTCTATTCAGTTGCATTTTGGGGAAACAACTGAATGTTTTCTTCTTCTGAATACGCGTGAGTGCAATTTTTCTTATCCTTATCGCAGTTGGTCCTTTCTTTTTGGATTAGCCTGAATGGATCTCGAACCGTTACTCGAAGGAGAAGTGTCCACGCCAAAAATTAATAAGCGTCGATTTTAAAACGGAATAAGAAATATTTGCACGTCGTTTGCGTATTGGCTACTGACGGGGATGCCAGCGATAAATTGGCCGTTTTGACAAATGCTCGTACGAGATACCGTTAATACGAACAATGGACAGATGAAAAGAAGGAAAATAAAAACGGACATCGCAGTGGAACCACGTACTGCACAGCGAGGAAAACGACGATCCTAAGGCATGTGACACAACAGTCAGAAATAAAGAATCAAGAGGAATATCTCGATCATATCCAAAACGAGATGGTTACAAGAGATTAGGACCAAGATGAACATCTTGAGGATATTCTATAGATAAACATATGTGACGATTTAGTTTTGATGTGTATTATATATGTGTACGTTCTCGATACCAACATAAACATACTTGTAGTGTAGACATATGTATGTCTTCTGTTTCAAATTAGCCTTTGTATTGCAATATTTGCTGCAGTCTGGACAAAGCCGATTCCTGTTTTGTTGTTATTATCTTATGTAGGTAGTACGTATACATATGAATTTTTATCAGAAAATCTGTTCGGATATTACACACTATTGAAGACAGCAGACGAACAATTGAAACGAGAGCACCTGCAGGCAATTATCTCTCAAGTCCTTGTTAGTAATTTGTCTCGGCTGGCAGCGAGTTTTCTTTTCGTTTGATTTTGTTCCTCCTCGTCCTCTAAATAAATTAGTATTAAATACCACTCGTACTACTGCAACATACTGTTCAATTGCAATTTTGAATTTATTAAACGAGAGGCGCTTGTCATAGCGTTTTAGTGAAGTTTAGATGAACTTTTATTACAGATAAGAACCTTAGCGTTTTCATGACTTTTAGCTTCAGTGACTACAGAAAAACCATTGCTAACGCGTATTTTTGGCAATATCTCAAGAAATCTTAGGTACTACTGTAACTACTTCCAAGGCAATTGATGACGAAAATGGCTCATGCACTAACCGATGCAGTTGTTCACTGCTACCTGTCTTTCCAATGCTCTTTTTTAACATGGTCTCTTATCCATCGTAGTGATTCAGACGTTTCTGATTTCCCGCACTATGTTTACCTCACTGAAAACTTCCCGAATATTCCATTTGTACTCTATCTATCACCAGCTGTTACCCGTGACTTTGTCTGCGAAGAATTCAATTATTTCACTAACCCCAAGTCAGTTTATCCTTCTCCATACATAGATGTACCCCATTAGTTAGAGCAAAAAGACCTTGGAGGATATCGAAACACATTGTAGTTTTTTTTAAAGGTTTTTATTTGGAATTTTGGGTTTTAGTGTTTTATTTAACCACATTCTGTATAATTATAGATATTTTTGAGTGCATATCACTGAAAAAAGTTTAGGCTTCGGAGTCTTAAAATTTTGATACTGAGACGTCCAGCTTTTTATTGTTTTTCAGTAGGATTTTCTTTTTGTTGCTTTAATGTTAAAAAATTGGCGCGCTTCTGATAAATAATAATCAAAATAAAGACCTTCTTGTTGCAAATGAGTGTACAGTTAAGAAACCGGACCATGTAAGTGGGCAGCAGCAGGGGTTCGTACGCACCCAGAATAAGAAGTTCGTTTACCTTTCGGATTCGTTTATTTTTTCGTCCAGCGCATGGGCTAATTTAACGAAATTAAATTTGTTGTGATATCAAAGGCTCCGTTCATTCTTCGACATCACGCAAAACTCGATATACATTACATTATAAGTGTATTTACGTGCGTACGTACACTTCGATTCACCTGTTTACGAACAATTGAAAATCATCTAGGGTACATGGAAAAGTATTTTCCGAAAACTGATATGTGTTGGATTTTGGATCACCAGATGATTTACAAAAGCTGTTTTCAGATTTCTGGTAGAATTACTAAATAAAGTAGAAACATAGATTAAAAGGATAATTTCATTGAGGTACAGGAGTAGGGACTTGATAGGGATTTTGGATTTTCTTAAATTTTATCATGTGCAGAATAAGATGTAAACTCGTAAAAGTTACAAAACTTTTATTGTTATACCACAATAATATTTTTTTATTACACAGCGGTTCCCTCAGGTGTTTCCTTTAAACATAAATGGATTTAAAAGCTTCTTGTACAGTCCTATTGTCTACTGATACTAGATGACCACAAGTTTTTTACCCATTGGCTTTTAAAATGACTTAAGATTAGTTACTTAAATAACCATTAAGTTAATATCATCGCCATCTATCATATAGAAGACGAAATACATTCTAGAATCAAATACAGATCACAGAAAACTATTAAAACTAATTTAAATTTCGTTCTTAAATAATTTTTTTTACTAACCTAATCAATTATTCAATCGTTTAAGTAAATTCTGATTAGGGCGCTACTTGTTGTAATTCAGAAATCGTTAAGATTTTACCGTAAAAATTTAAATATTTATATTTATTGAGAAACTCTTCATCTAAAAATGCTTTTATGAAATACTTACCTAATAAAAATTGTTAATGTTAATTCGTGAAAATAATTCTAATTCTAATTATTTGTTGTGTATCTTTATATCTTTTAGAAATACGTACACACGTCCACACATATTTGCCAAATGAGATAGAAGTGTACAACTGTAACTAAGAAAAAGAACAATAAAATTAAAGTTCTTATTATCCTTTGCTTGTATCTGCATTTTTATAGGGAAAAATTTAAAATACATGTTTGGTCTTATTGTCCATTCGTCCAATTTAAACCAACCCAAGGTTGAAATCCTTATTACGCGATGAAAATCCAGCTATCATATCGACTCTTGTAAATTTAAATTAAATTCTTGAATTTTGATATCGGCGTAAATAGTCTTTTTCTATCATTTTTAAATTCAAAATTTGATTGATTATTGATAATTTAGAAAATACTACAAATGGCGCGGTAAACGCCATTATTTTATTCGATTAACCTAACGTGCCTATCACGTGGAGGTTGGCTACGCCGGAATTCGTTTTCAGCAAGTAGATATCCACACAAGTGGACCTTGTTGGAGCATACGTAATCCTAAAATGTAGCATCGTGCTACAGATGGCGTTTACCGCGCCATTTGTAGTATTTTCTAAATGGCACTGTTAAGACAGCAGTAAAAAGATCGAAATCGCGATCCGCGTCTGGCAGTTTCGACAGAATACAGACCACTTCGAATTATTTTATTGATAATTTATTTAAAATAATTAATCAGACAATATTTATAACATTGGTTCTTTATTTGTTGGATAATAATTTACAAAAATTACAGACAAAAGTCATCAATGCCCAATTGTTTTGTTTGTAACAATGAGCCTACCAAATTTTTACATACTTAATATGATGTACATATTTTAAATAACCACATAAGTATCGATCACTCCGGTACGAAACGTCGTATAAATAAATGACCGTTTCCGTCAATATCTAATCAAGAACATGTCTAGTCAATTGACCTATAATCTACTATACATAGTAATTCGTATTGCATCTGTCGAAGAATAGATTGCTACATTTCCGAACAGTTGACTTTCTTATTTTCTCATTCGCTTTTTGACAGCATCTTTCTATAATTACCATCTATGCAATAGTCCTATATCACACTTTTATTTATCTATTTGTTATCGTAAGTCCGTCGAAAAAATTCGCTATATTCACATTTATTAATCGCCACGTCCATTCTCATACGTAAACTTCACCTCTCTTTGGTGAATTCGCCGTCGCGCTCACTGAAACCGTTGACGTTTTTCGGCTTCGGGGCTCTTCAACTGATGATATCGAGTTATGGGACGCAACATTAGGCAACAATGCCGTTGTATCATTCGTACTGGGCACATTGGGTAAGTTGCTGGAGTTCACAGACTTCAAGACGCTGCTCGGATCCGCCGTTCTCTCGTCTATTTCTGGAATGCTTCTCTTGGACGCTACCGAGGCTGTCGTGTTGGACTGCATGGATCCTTTGCTATCCTTGGAATCGTTCGATCCTTCCGATCCCATGGACGTTTCGCTGCTTCTGCTGCTGATGTTTCTTTCTGGATCGTCGGCTGCTGACACCTCCGTCAAGGAAATCCTTTGGGAATTTGGTGTTTCTGGAGGAATGGTTGAATGGAAAGCGTTCACAAAGGTTGGATTACTCTCCATGTGGTTTCCAAAGGATCTTGTCAGCATGGGACTATTCGTGACGGAGGACAAGCCCAGAGAAGTGAGTTGTGATACGGTCATGGGCACGCTAACCGGTGCCAGAACTGGTCCTATTCCAGGCGAGAGGATCGCTTTGGCAAGAGCAGCAGTGCTTGGTTGATTAGGATGTAGAGTGTTGTTGCCCGAATTGCTACCATCTAATTCCTGAATTGGAGATAGGACCACTTGTACCACTGGCATATCGGTTCCTGCCGCATAACTGGGATAACCAGTACTTATTTGCTGAGGTACTAATGTCACCCCTGCGGAGATTTGGTTCTGCATGTTGATGGACGTCGCCAAACGATCTCTGTCCAGTACTTCTTTGGTTACGTCAGGTGTTGGGATCCTTGGACGACCTTTAATTGGAACAGGACCCGGAGCTTTAACCATACCTGAAATTGGAATACTTTCTTCACATTTTTTTATCATTTTTCCACTCTCAGCGTAATGATATCAACCTTGAAACCTTTCTAAAGCCTTTTTAAACATTTTGCAATCTCAACGTTATACTATATTCATCTGCGCTAGGGTGTTTGTATTGTAAATGTTTATATACCTGGTTTCTGAATGATTTTCTGATTTCTGCTCGATCGTCTACCAACGATCCGGTCATAAATAGATAACTTTACATGGGCTTGAGCACCAACTTGTCCAGCTTCTGGGCTGGCGTACACAGAATTTCCTCGAGGTCTTCCAAAGAGTCCTCCAGAGGAATAAGCTGTAGATGATGATCGTATAGATCCTCTAGTTTTTGAAATTTGTCTGCTAAACCAATTTGATGATTTTCTTCGTTCGACAATGGGAGTGTCTACGCTCTCCTAAAACAAAAAAAGGCAATGATGTAAAATTCACGTGAACGCGGAAGAATATTTTTTGATAAAGGGTGCTTCTTACGTAATCGGCATACATGTCATCTACCATGTTGTTTTTGCGATGAGGCGTTACCAGGTTTGCGTAAAGTGCATCTGAGGCTTTTATTTTATAGTTTTCCGCCGAACCTTTCGGTTCTTCTCGGCGATAATGCTCAGAAGCAACTGTGTAAGGAAGTTCCTTGGGGACCACTTCGTCCCAAAATTGATCTTTCAGTAATTCGGGATGTTCCTCGTGCATCTCATCGACAATCATATATCCTGCCTGCAAAAACCACTGTTTGTTTAGAAAATGTTGTTGTAGTAAGAAGTATCTTTGGCATCTGATTGCTTTCAAATGTGCGAATAGGGTGCAAATCTACCTACGAATCGTATCACTATACATTTAACTACTTTTAAAAGTTTCTTAAAGTATTTCATTCGATATCCTTTGTTTATGTGAGTGCAAAAAAATATATTCTTATCCTTATAGCTTATTTATTGTCCCACATAGTAGTATAATTAACAATTAGGTAATAGGCAGTAGCATTTCAGTTTTTTATTGGCACTTTCCAAAACCGTAAAGATTGTTTATAGTAGCAGTTTTCATATAAGAATTATTACAATTTTATTGCCGATAATTAAATAGGAGATGCATAAAACAATTTTTAATTGACCCTTAATCATCGATTAACAAATAACCATACTTAAAAATCAATCGGAAATGGCTGACATTGTTTTTATTTATTTACCTAAATCAAATGCAATGGTTGTTTGTGACCGAATTTTAGTTGACCTTATTAAAATTCTTCCTGAAACACGCTTTACTGACAACCATGACCTTTCTTTACAAGGTATGCGGTGAACCTTATCATCATTTCAATATTAAGTATTAGGGATGCCCTGAACAATGTCTCAAAAATTAGCAACGATCTACTGATAATTGAAATAGATTTTTGAGGGTGTGCCTGTCGTAGGAAGTTGAAAACTTATTTTTTCTAAGAAGATGTCTTTTGAAATTGTATTTAAGCACCTTGGCACCATTTTTAAAATATCACGAATGTGCAAATTGTTTCGATTAGTATTTTGAAGTGAAACTGGTCGTTTTATAGGTACAATATGGATACATGCTTATGTTTGGCACACCATAACAATTGCAATAGCAAATAAAAATTTACACCTGGAAGTAAAACTGAACTTTCACATACCCCCAACAACAGTATCTTAATTCAGCTTACATATCCTAACAGTACGCCTAAGCCCCGTCTCTTTATAGTTTTATGTGTCTCCTAAAAATTGCAAATTTGTGATGTTTCCTTGTATAGGTAAATCAATAAAATTAACATATAATTACGCAAACAATTAACATATATACCTTGCAAAAATACCGTAGTTAAGGTCATAGTTTATCAAGATGTTATACATATCAAATTTTTTCCTTGGCATGAATTGTGCAAATCTATTGTTAACAGTAACATGTCATTGTAATAAAACCTAAAATAATTATTAAATGTACATTTAAACGGCGTACAACCAGATGTATACGATTCGAATAGTTAAGGCCAATTCAGAAGATAATATTTTATATTTCTAAAAACTACAGCAACGTTTCGACTGCCAATGCGAGCCTTCTTCAAGATTGTCTTTCGTAGTTAAGCAGTGTTGTGTTGGTTTTAAATGTTTATTTATTTATTTTTTTATCGAGTTGTATAGCAATTGTTTTTTCAATTGCACAAATTGCATCGTATAAATCAAATACTGTTCAGCTAGGACAAACAGTCGTGAAAAAGTCTCGTGTTGGAAGCGAAACGTTGGTGTAGTTGAAATATAAAATTTTATATTCTGAATTAGTTTTGATTCATTTCACATATTAGTTGTCACTGCTGATATTTAATATCATCTAAATGAAACAGAATAAACCCTATCGTCTAGTTGTTCCTTCATTAGCACACATGTTTTCTGAACTCAACGTCAATTCAATTCATTCGACAAATGAACATTCTTTTGTTTGTATTCAACAACTCAATACACTATGCTGATGTTCTTTTACAATTAGAGAAAAACAGTGTTAATAGTTATTGTTACAACGAAACGTAATCTTTATTTGGTTTACGTTGTAACGTTCTAACGCTACGATGATTTGTACTGTTATCGCGATAGTATTTTTGTTAAAAAATGGATTGAATTAAAAAAAAGTATAGTGAAAGGTTTACGAAGCGCGTAGTAGAACTGGCGTAAAATAATAAAAACCTTTAAGTGACTTTAAAATAAACAAGAGTGACACAAAAACATGCTAAAAAAATATAGAATCATTATTCAATACAAATCCACAAATACGAAAAGCTTTTTTTAATTATAATTTTGGAATTTTTATGTACTTAACTTGTTTTGGATTACTTAAACAGTCTTAGAACTGTAATTTTAGTTCATTGCTCTACCAGTGTTGATTAAATTAAAGTCAACTTTGTATGGTATAAAAAAATTATTTGCGAATTGAAAACTAACTGGATTATTACACAATGAAAAAATATGCAAGAATCAGTCAATTATCCCTTCTTAATACTCAGGTGTAATATACATTGCAATATATATTATCCTGCGGTCCATGTGTGTATCTCGTATTTCTTAATATGAAGATGCGACAACTTGGCGCTCCTTTACACTTACGTTAACCCATTTTACCATAATATTCTTTAAACAATTTAACGTTGGGTAATACCACAACCTACCTCGCAATCCACAATCATGTGATGCAAAGGTTACGTTACGGTATATTAAAAAAATACTCTGTATTTACATGTTGTACGTTTGCGGAGGAGTTGTTTGTAATTAGTTATTGTTCGCAGTATCACAGCTGCAGTGGCGTAACTATCGGGGTAGAAACTACTACAGTTATAATTAAAAATGATCACTAGCATTTATGAGTTACATATCTCGATTAATTGCAGCTTCTCTTTTGTAAATCATTAATTGTGTTCGACCCTTAAAAGTTCGCCTACGATTCGTTGTGAAAACATCCGTCGCATTCAAAATTTTTAATTCAATAGCTCAAAGAAGTGTTTGATAATTAATTTTATAATTCATGACAGCGTTGTCTTTGATTGAAGCATGTACTTCATTGGAAATGATGTAGATAGATATGTATAATAATGACTTTATTGGTTTACAGTTACAAATTTGCTTTCAATTAGATAAAGGACAATGCCTTGTTCGCGAGTGACAATAATAAGTATCTAATAAGATCGCTTGTTACAGGTTGCGTGTCACCTCAAAGGTTTATGACACTATTCATGTTCACTATTGAATTATGCATGTAAATTCTTCAGGTCTTGATTCATCCAATCGATATCATCGATGTTCTGTGAAACTGTTTATGTATATGATCGCAGGAATTTATTATAAGTATATTTTGTTGTGCTGTTATTACCAGGTACTTATAATAATAGACCCATACGTATTCTGTGTTGTTCATATTTTATTTCTGATGGTGAGAATAACTATTATTTATTGAGGACCAATAAAAGTAATGAAAAATTGAAATAAATTGCCGGTACGACCATGGCTGCTACCTATCAAGGTGGTAGATAACAGTCAGCGATTTTATATCTTTTCTTTTCTTCCTGTCACGCCACTGTCGAGCTTTAAAGATGTGCTACAATCAACGGCGAAATCATAATGGAAAAATCGTAAGGTTTTGATTTTGATATTCAGATGTAGACAGGACATGCTTAAGAATACTTGCAGATTGAATGCATGTTGTATTTTTAATAAAATATGAATACCTATAAAAAGGGTACCTTAAACGTGGTACATTTTGATTTATTAATGCCGAAAACGTAAAACGTACCGATGATGAGTGAACAAGTCCGATTTCTCTTTCATAAAATATTGTTTGAAATGTATCGATATCGGAGCGTCGTGGGACCGAATCCGGCGCATTTTACCGGACCGAGAGCGTATCGGGTGCAGTACAGTGGGAACCAAGCCTAATGCTTATCAAGAATATATTTTAACATTCTCCGCGTGAAGGATAGTAAAATCCGTTCGTAAGGAACAAATGCGATTCCTTACGCGGAAAGGAATTTTGCGCATTCGCCCCTGAAATCAGGGAAAAATATCGTATTTTCGGTAGAAGTTTGATGAAAAATATATTTAATTATATGAACCAAAGTAATAGGGTCTTAATTAATGGTTCTGTAAATTTATTCGTGCACTTTCAATGCGCGAATTTCTTATTACTTAACTGCTATAGATAGTGGCCAAATTGGCCTCAATACATGCCGAATGAAACAGTTAAATTGCCTTTATACATACTTATATGTTCCTTGACCTAGTGAAACTTCTAGTAGTTCCTAATCAATTAGCAAAAATTAGCAGTCACAAATCGTTCCTTGTAAATTTTCTTTATTTCTTTCGCTTTCAGCTATTCTATTTAGGTAAGATCAAAATGCGTATTAAAAGAAAAAGGATTTTAAAACTAATTAACAGTAATACTTTCTATTTGTCGACTTAAAGGGAATTAAAAAGACGGAAATTATGATTGATTCATATAGAGAATAAATTTATTATCTACATTCTTTTTGCTATCAAGAAATAGGCCAGTAAATTTCTCAAAACTTTAAACTCATTGTGTGATTATTCGAGAAACTACTTGAGGAATTTCCTGGTGCGATTATGACCCGGTTTTTCCATTTTTTTACAGTGCAGTTGCAACAATTATGACTAATAAAAATACGCAAATTGTATTTCACGAATTCAAGTGTTTCTTCGGTAGGCGTTTTTTATGTGGGAATGCAACAACAAGTTCGTGAAAACAATAGACAAAGTGCTCTGTTTTTGTTATAAGTATGTACTAACCTTGATATGCCTGTCAATCAGCCAATTCAGTTCGATATCGTCGTCGTCTTCGCCAAAAGGATTTATCAGAACCTCTGCCACTTTTAGCCAACCAAGGTAAAAGCAGAACTAAAAAGCCAACCAGGAAAAAAGTCAGTCACATTGTTCCTTTATGATGCAACGGTTAATTATAATAACAAAAAATTAAAAATATTTTTATTTAGGTAGGTAATGTTAATTTCTCAAGGTCTTGGATTAATTAATATTTATATAAATGTAAACGTAGGTACAGTTTTCTTGAAAAAAATTGCTCAATATAATAAATATGTCTCATGTATCAACGTATCAGTCAAGGCATAAGAAAACAATTCCATGAATTCATTTTCGATTTATGCAATAGCATGTGTTTCAGCATACTGACGCTTTTTTTTGGTCCGTTACCTTAAAAGGACAAAGTGGGTACCAATCGCAAAAAGTGTAAGGAAACCTTAGAAAGTCTGACAAATTGGTAAAAAGATTTCGCGGTCAGTTAGTGAACTGATGCTGTCCTGATTCGGGTCTCAATATTGTCGTCGATTGGAGTTACGAGGGCGGTTCAATAAGTACCCGTGTTAGACATGAAGACACCTTTTTCGTAAAATTTGTTTTTTTGTTTTCCAACATAGTCCCCTTTTAGAAAGACACACTTCTCCCAACCCCTCCAAAAAATAAGATTTGTAGAACTCTCCAAAATCCCCCCTGTCTCGGCGATGACTTCCTCGTTTGAGCTAAATTTCTTTCTCGCTAGTCATTTCTTCATGGTAGGGAACAAGATGAAGTCGCAGGGAGTCAAATCGAGTGAGTACGGGGTGTGCGGCAGCAAATTCATAACGTAATTCATGCATTTTGGCGGCAACAACTCCTGATGAATGTGCCGGTGCGTTATCGTGTTGAAAACGCACCTTCTTTTTCGTCAAATGCGTCCGTGTCTCCTTCAATTTTTTGTCGAAGCGGTCCAATAACTCACTCTAGTATTGTCCAGTGATCGTTCTTCCTTTTCCTAAAAAATCCGTAAAATGATTTCCTTGGTAACAACGTTTGCCAGGCTTCCTGGTCGCTCCTATCAAAAACGTATCTTTGCCCACGTTTAAATTCGTTGAAGCAATATCTAACTGTGGTCGTAGATGGCGAAATGTCTCCATAAACAGTATCCAACTTTGTTTTCATCTCCTTGCATTTTTTCCCATCCAAAAACAAAAAGCGAGTTACCGAACGATACTGCTCTTTTTCCATTTTAGCGAAAATAACGAAGCACGTCTGAGTGGAATAGCTGCCAAATCCAAACTAACCTATCAATCAGTTTGAAATTCGTTTTGACGTGGTTTGATAGATGGCAGCACACGATGACAACACCAATTTCCCTCAGGAACGTCCTCTATCTTCAAACACGGGTACTTATTGAACCGCCCTCGTACTTCCTAACGAGTGGAGAACTTCTTCAGAGGTCCTTTTAAATCTAGCATCGGGAAAAGAAGGAACTCTGAATAAGATTATCACTCGAGTTAGCGAAACGTTAGGAAGAAACTTCAATCGACGATGGCCTTTACACCAGAATCAGAATGCATCAGTTTTTAGGAAGTATCTAGCATTTGTCATAAAACAGTGAAATATATTATTATAGTTTGTGTAACAAAATTATTCATTAATTATTATTCTTGACATTTGTTAATAATTTGGTGATTTGTTCTATACAACTTGTTGGTAAATTAAAATCCAAATTTCATCGAAAATCGGACATAGGTACGCGACAAGTTTCTAACAACGATCGTTGCCAAGGCGACCCAGTTGTTCACTGGCCCGTCGCTGATGGTTACGTGGACGTTTATTTTTATTGCCTTTACTTGACTTTTTGATAAGTATTCGAAAATCGTAACACTTGCTAATTGGTAGGTAGATGAAATAATCAAAAAGAAAGTAACCGTTCGCTGATTTGTAAAAGTGCTCGAGTGGATTAATTTCAAATACAAATCAAGTGTATTTTGTAATTCAGGAAATCAAATGGAATTATTTATTTAAACAACCTCATTCCCTTTCATGTTTATAGAATGGAAGTAATTTGTTTGTAATTAACAAAAAGTTAGAATCGTTTATGATGTGGTGTGATTATGGGCGAAATAGGGTAGATAGAAAATATTACAAATCAGGAAGAATTACAAAGACATTACGGTATGAAGTAAATCAGGAAAAGCAGACACAGAATATTTTAAGACCTTCTGAAATGTAAAGCGTTATAGCAGTTTATAGAAATAAAGCACACAAACCTTCGAATTTTTGTAATAGCTAATTCAATTGATTTTTAATGAATTTAAAATATAACTCTTGGAGACGAGTGTATGACGGTGGCTCTGAGCCCCAGGTACCTTGAAGGTCGTCGTTGACTGCATATGCTGATTTGCGGCCCTCAAAACCCCCGAAAAATGAACTTATTTATATGTTTATTGTCCGAGTTTTTGTATAATGCATTTACAAAACTGAATTTTTATCATGCACCGATGCATTTTTTGAAGATGAATTGATCTCTCGTGTTCACAAATTTTATAGACAATCTCACAAATCGAATGCAAAAAACTGCGTCTCGATATGATTATTTTCTCAACTATCTATTAATCCGAGGCATATTAGCAGCAAGATAGGGGTAAATACAGGCCTGTATATATAAATAAGTAAATAGAAGTATAACTTCTGCGGCTCGTACATGTACCGGTTTTTTTTAATTAAAATGGCTAATAGTTTTAAGCAATATGCCTCAAACATTACAGAGAAACTATCACAGATATATTAAAATTCTTTAGAAATTCGAGATTTTTATTACCAATAAATTTAATTTTGCGGTCAGTGAATTCTATTATTACCATCCAATTCCAGTTTAAATTGAATTTATGTTTACCAATTTTGTATGTAATTAATAATTTGGACGCCTATTCGGTACATATGTAGATTTTCATTAACGTAATAGTTATGATCCAGAGCTTTACATGCAAATGTAACTCGAACTTGCCCGGTTTTCCTTTCAATTTCATTTTCCAACATTACGGTATTGTTGTCAGTGTGTGCAATCTACTTTTAATACCAGATAAGAAAAATGTCGTAAATGATATGTGATGACATATAGAAGGGCTTGTACTATAAAAGAATTTTACGAGAACTTTTCCGGAGGTATCAGGAATATTCCCTAACTGTACGAATAGGCAACAGGTGTCCGATACAAATGTGATGATTTAAATTGTGCGAAAACGAAAAACCAAAAGTATGATATAAATTCATACTATACAAGGGAGATAAATAATAAACAAAATATGTATATGAAAATAAGTAAAATCTTAACATTTACCCACATTCGAGTTTTCAGCAATTTAATAAAATACGGCTACTTATACTACGAAATTCATTAGAGAATTATGAACATTCATCGGTTAAAAATTCCTGCCGTTCCACGAACCATTCAGCGTCATGTGTAGGAATTATTGAGTAACGTTATCGATTTTATGCAACTGTACCATTCACTTGTTGAACGAGTATACCTGAGTACTCAATTCTTCTTAAATTTAATTTGTGCATATGAGTCAACAGAAAAGCAAACACTTACCTGTAGTGCGGTAAAGAAAGGAAAATACATGTCAGGTACTTCGAATTTCCCAACGACGCTGTCTAGGGGTGCGTCAGGCACAAACTGTCTCCCCAATAAGGCCACCATAAAATACATATAAAGTGTTAACGTTACCACCTGAAATAAAATGCAAAATAATAATAAAAATGTATCCGCAACTATAAAGTTTCACAAAAATAATAATTGTTTGGGCTGTTAGTCTATAATCAATGAGTGTAATATATGAATGTATTCATATATGTATTTCTTAAAGTATTCAAAATTTTTTTTTTGGTCTAAAAGTCTGATTAAAAATAGTAATTATGTAATTAAAACAAAAGAATTTCATGTCTCATTCCGTTGATATTTGATTTGGTGCAGGTAATTATATAATTGGATAACTAAGTGATGTTTCTTTTAAAATATTTGAACATTGTTTAAAAATTTTTAACTGGTTTCCTACGTGATCAAATTCTTTTTTAACTTTGTCAACAAATGCGGTTATTTGCTAATTGGTTTATTTATAAAAAAATTAACTTTTCGTGACGTATTATTAGAAATATTATGGTAATGTGTATGCTGATATACCACGTATGCATTTCTTACTTACTCAAACTATAAGAAAAGTAGTATTTGTTTAAAGGTCATCATATTTGCATTTAAGTATTTACATTTACGTATTTCGAAAATTTCTAGAAATCCAAAAAATCACCGGACTCGCAAGTAACAAAAATCGATTACTTTATAGTACAAATTCCGAAAAAGGAACAATGCAATTATTTATTTCGTTTACCTTTAATGTTAAACGAACCATTATATAGCAGTTTTTTTACGATTATTTCTCAATTCATTTTTGTATTGGTTTTACTGGTCACAATAGCTGCTATAACCATGCAAGAATGTGTAAATATTCATAAAACTGCAATATTTTAAAACGCAATTACTTCATACACCAATACGTTTATTTTTATATAATGTGTACAGAGTGGTACTTGCAAGCACAGGCAGAAACGAAAATAACGAGATCTTCGTGTATGAAAACGTAACTTTTGATCTAAAAGGAAGGTAAATGAGGAATTTCCAGTAGTAAATGAGTATTACACAATCAACCAGCTAAACGGAATTTCGGGTCCAGGATGGCGGCTGCCTCTTGCATGTCTGAGTGCACCCATCATGCTAAAGCATTTAACGTGTGAAATAATCCGTCCTAAGTAATATCTGGACGACCGAGCTCTGTTTAGGATAATTGTAAAAAAAAAAAAAAACTAAAAAAGTCTGACCACATTGCAAGATTCGAACTCGCACATTCTAGTGTGGTAGATCTACGCTCTAGCCATTAGACTATTTTCAGAAGATGCGAAATTACTAATTATGTTGCGCGCGCAAGTCAAGTTTGTTGTTTTGTGCGTAAAAGCACGGGGAAAATTAATTTTCCGACCAAAAATGAGACCTAACTAGACCGACCATTTCCCCTCATAAACCCCTTTACTGTAAATTTCATGGAAGTCGTTGAGTCCTTTTCAAGAACACGATTACAAACAAATAAATAAATATGGACCTACATAAATATTTCTCGTATAATATTCTTAGTAGGTATAGGATTATAAATTCCTTAGAGAGGCGGAGACCCTACATTTTTTCTTCCAGTGCAGCTAATGGCTATGCTCCCGAGAGAACAATACGAGTTCGCCTTGAGAACGACAGCTGTACCAAGTTATAATGCGATCTGCGATCTCTTCTAATAACAGAATACACACGATAAACTGTCACTTAACGTGAGAGAACCGCAACACCTCTTGAATAAATTCGAAACTTTCCTCAAGATCACGATGGCCTTAAGAAATGCAATTCTACACTGCTCTCTTATAGTTCCAGTCACTTTATTATGTGTATAGTTAACGACAAAACTGTAACGAAAACATCTTTTCATGTAGGTAGAAGATTAATGCCTAAAACAAGTCTTATTGCAAATTACTTCCATGACCTTTTACAGCCGCGACCTTGCGAATGTCTTAGCTTATTTGGTCCTTTTCTTATTCCTTTTTTGCATTTCTGAGCAAGTATGTTTTATTTATATTTTCCTTTGTTTGTTGTTACTTGCCAAGATCGTTGATGGTCTTTTTTATTATTTCGTCGTTATGAAAGACCACAAAGTACAGTGTATTTCAATTTGTTAGAATTGTGACCTTGAATAAATCTGCGCGAAGATAGAAAGAAGGCACACTAGGCGTGAGCAAAACAGAAATAGTTGAAACAAGCTTGAACGAGCAGAGCTCTCGATGGGCGGTCTTAGGAGATCGGTTAGAACTGTACAGTACTAGACGAAAATGTTTAGCAATTTCTTAAAACAAAATTGTATAGATATAAATTAACAATAGAAAACAAAGCAAAAGTTTTATTGGTGTGTAGAACGTTAAGTTAATTCACTTGTTATTATTTTTGGCTAAATATGCTTTTAAATAAAGCATATTCTTAAATTTTAATGAGACAGTTTAAATAATTTTGCAAATGGTACTGTACACTTTTGACTAGCTCTCGCTCGATGATCGGTGGAAAAAGGAGCTAATGAATTTGGAATTATGCTACGGCGCATCCTAATAAAGGGTAGGGACATATCTCTAACTTCATGAAACGAACAGTACGGTAGCAGAAATAAACTACACAAATTTTAAGTCATAATACATTTATTATGTAATAATGACGCGTTTCTATGATCGGTATATCAGGTTTGAGTCGTCTTCGAATTAGTTGCTCAGGCTTTTTTTTATCTAATTCACGAAATATATTCCTAGTAACAATTTTTCCACGACGAAGTTATCAGCAAACTTTAAATACAAATGAGGTCATCAAAGATGTAACTACCTGATAATTTACGAATCGTGATTAGTTAATGATTGATGACCTAAATGCAGATCCCGATGGAGTTTATAAAGCGACTCAACAGCCAGCAATTATCCTACTATTCATTATTTTTTATTAATAAAAGAAAAACAAATAATGTCGGCGCCGGGTTACATAAAAAAGTGTAATTATATTATACAATAATTATAATTGTGTTTCTTAAAACTCCTGATAAACTGGTAACATTAATTGGTACACAAACAACATACTTACAAGTATTATTTTAATCAGATGTTTTCAACAATGCATTGGAAATTTTTCAAAGGAAATGTAAAATAATAACTCCTGCAAATTCTCTTAAAGATTAGCTACGGTCGGTATAAGAAATAATCTTTTGCATAAACGCTTTGAAGCGGAAACATTCTAAGCATGGAACTGTGTCACGAGTATTGTGAATGAGAAGTTAAACGAATCAAAAGTTGCTAGAAAATAAATTCTGATACAAAAAATAACAAGGACGCTTAATGGGATCCGTCAAATGAGAGGAGCCTAAAAACATGGCGCCGATTAGGGAAAAGTTTATCGTAGTTCTTATAGTGTACCGTGCAATTTCCAAGTTTTCAAATTACGATAAAATGATAAGTGTTGACACAATATGTGATTGGGCTGACACAAAGCCTCGGAAAAGAAATTTCGTTGAAGGTGAGCGTGTTTTTAATGCCAATTACATCATAAAATTCGGAAATAACAAATCCGGAAGCTAGCCTTCAAATTCCGTCAAATTTGACGGATCCCAATATCTTTATGATTTCTACCACCAGAACAATTCATACAAGAGATTAATAAAAGGAAAGCTGCGAGGAAGAAAAGTTGATGGAAAATAATAAAATAGTACCTGTGTATATACTAATGGCACACAAACGGTGTCGTATCCTATCAAGGAGCCCAGTCGTCTTCTAATATCTGACAACTCCATGAGTAACGTTTGTACCAAATGGTCACTAGTGATAAGCGACTCCTTCCTCGCTCGGTTAATGATGTTCGTGCCCCACACCAAAGGCATCCAGTACTTCGACATTGGCGTCTTCGCATCCATTAAATCGAAGATTTTCTTCTCGCTTTCCAACATTAAACCTGTAACCAAAAAGAAAATTGAAATGGTCCGAAAAAATAAAAAAAAACGTAGGGTTTTGTAATTGGAAAATGCAAAGATTGGCGGGCAACTTTCGCTAATTTCTATTCAAAAAATAGCTACGTGCCCCCAGGCACGCAAATAAATTTCGTTTTCTTCGGCATGACTTTCGTTTTTGGTTGGGTGTGGAATTTCAATGTCCAAAAGGTCGTTATTACACTCGACAAAATTGATTACAGTAGACTGACACGTGGATAACGTTTTTATTGATAATTTTCCAGCATTTGGAAAACTAACTATCAATTGAGCAATTTATAATAACAATTTTCTGTGAAAATTAAAACGCTTAGTGTCAGTGTTCATTATAAACGATCATTTTAAAATGTTGGTCGTAATAAGCGAGCTTTGCATTTAAAAACCAAACATCTTTTATATGCAAGATTGTTAAAGGTGTATGCGTAGAGCACGACGCTGTATGGGTGCGAAACACGGACGATGGACGCGCCGGAAAAGAAAATGATTCGAAATGTGGTGTTACAGGCGAATGATGAGGATATCGTAGATAGAGACGGTTATAAATGAAGCAGTATTAGAAAGAATAGGAGAACAGAGGACTCTATGGAAATCAATAAGACATAGGTCGATAGGATACCTTCTCAAGCATGAAGGGCTAGTCAGAGACATATTAGAGGCAGAAACGGAAGTTAGGAGGCGTAGAGGTAGACCTAGATTAGATTACTGTTCACAAATAGTTAAGGAAGTGAGATGTTCTAGTTTAAGAGAATTGCGAAGATTAGCTAAGGGTAGGAAATAATTGAGGTGCCTGTCCAACCAGTTTTAGGGCTGACGACCTTATGGTGATGATGATGTAATGTAATCAACTCAGTCAGATGGGTTATTGTAACTTAATCAATTTAATAAATAACCAAAAACAGGCACTACAGTGTATCTCTTTGTGGATATTTATTTTGTAGTTCTTCTATCAATTTATTGGATTATCTCAAAATGAAGAAAAGAAAAATCAGCTTGTTGCAAAAGTAGTTACGACCCCATTCGTTTATTATATTATTAGCCACAAAATATAGACTCTACTCGTTTGTGTTACTTTTAAAATGGTAAATAGTACTGCCCAAGGCTATAAATATGTATTTTGCGTTCATTCTCTTAATCATTGTGCGTAAGTGTGTCCTTTTCGAAGCGAAAATGTTCGTCCTGCTTTTTATGTACTTCTCACGCAGATTTATTAGTTGCGCCGATTTCGACGACCGCTAACGCATCGAAACGATAACGTTATAGAACTTTATTAGTTATTCCGATAAGGTACCGCCTCTTCACGCATCAACATTGCGAACAGGACACCACCGACAGTCGTCGGTCTATCGGACAAATGCAATACAATCCGTTCCGATCCAGTGATTCTAGAAAGTTAAACAGAACGAGAGAGAAAAAAAAAGGTACATATACGGAGTGTATGCGTGATTGACGTGCTTGCAGCCTGGCTGACCGGCTGCCTTTTATAGGTTATTACATTAAACACGGTAATGTTGGACGTAGTTAATCGTAAGTATAGCCATAGCCAGTGGAAGCAACTGATTGTGACTGTACTACTGCTATTCTAGTTAGTAAACGCGAGTAAATGTAGAACAGGAAGAAATTAGCTGGCGCCAGAAGTCCAGTTAGGCGCCATCATCACATTCCTTTACTTAATATCCATCGTTCTCAGAAATTTTCATTAAATAATTATCTCTCGCGCGGATGTAGCGCGTATTTCATTCGGAGAAGTTAATGCTTTTTGAGCCCAATCGAGCCTGTACATTATCTATAAATGATGATAAATAATTTATATTGAAAACACTGAAAATATCAACATCATTAAGAGGCGATGAATCTTTTGATACTAAGAACTGTGTTACCACGGTGTATCTTAAAGCTACTTGAGTGTATTTATTATTATCTAATCTACGGTTGTATTGTTATAAATATGATATCAACATATTTACAGTTAGAAAGTTCAAGGAAAGAATTATCTGTTGTATTTCTACGACCTTTTCTTTTTCGTTTAATTGCGAAAATGTGTGTGTGAAAGTTAAGATTTATGCACTATTACGATTTTGTCAGGTAATTACAATTATCGTTATGAAAGAATGAAGGAAAGAAAGGTACTCTCTTGTGCGCAATTATTACTCCAAAATACAGATGTATGTAAATGTAAAAACATATGTGTGTTGTATAATATGTACTTTATACTGTCTGTGTTGTTACATTGTCTAAAACAGTTTCATGTTAATATAATCATCCTAAGTGACACAACACATGGTTTAATTAATGGTATACCTAGGAGTAGAGTAAAAAAAGTTCGTTTCCATGATTTAAGTGGATCCTAATAATAAGCCGATCATGTAAAAGTAAATAGTTCATAATAGTTTTAGAATTGAAATAACACCTCGAAGAAGACATGTACTGATTTTAATTATCAGGGCAGTCGGTTATTGAACGTCTGAACTCTAGAGAGTGACCGCATTTTTGATTCGGTTACGATCAACAACTAAATATTGTAATGGACAAATAGATATTTCAGGTAACATCTGCTGACTGGCATGTTAAAATTTGTTGGGTTTACGTTTACTTAATCCGACTGTGTCAAAATCCCTTGAATTATTATTCCATGCCCAAGTGATACATTTTCCAGCTTTTACAATTGCATCTTTGTCTTTTGTGGTTTTACTTGAAGTAGTAGCTGTCTTTTAGAAATGCACCCGGATAATAATTTTTTGACAAATGGTGAAAGCCTCTTGTCATTACGTATTTCCGTTCTCGTAATATGAGTGTTTTTAATGTTAACATGCTATTTTTACATAGTCTGGGAAATTTTACACCCACTGAATTTTCCGACAACGGAAAATGTGCTTACCAGGATAATCTCTACAGTATAGCTTTTATCCCCGCGGGGGTAATTGCTTAAGTTTAAGAACTCAGCGACAAGAATTCATGGGATGATTTTTGTACATTTGTTTGATTAGAAAAAGTAACATACTAATTGTGAACCTTTAAATTTTCATAACTTGGTGTAATGTCTTAGCAAATTACTCTGTATTAATTTTATATGTAGTATTCCCTTTTATTAAATTCCCTTTACCTCTACCTTTAGGTAGTTTAGCTGATAATAAAATTAAATTATAATAATTAAGAAACTTGAAATAATTTTTAAAAAAACATGTCAAAATTGAGATGATTACAAGTTACCTAATAAATTCTACTATTATTTCTACGGTCATTTAAAACCGAAAATTCCAATTTTTGCGTTGCCATAAAAATTTAGTTTTCTCCGTGTCAAAAAGTGGTTTTACCACAATTTCTACATTTTCTAATCGTGTTTTAAATAGTAAATGTTGTAAAACTAGCTTATTCGAGTGTAATTCCTTTCAGGACAGCACGCAATTACCAATAGACGCGCCTGTTGAATTACCTATAAGCCTCATGCATGCCACATGCTCCAATCAAACAATGGTCAAAACAATGCTGACATGCATGTGTTTCCTGTACAATATGACACATGTGAATGGTAAATAAATACGTCGAAATGATTCATTGAAAATTGTGTTTTACAACTGGCGAACATGTGTACCAGAAGCTACCACTTTGAATATTAAAACCATGTCACGAAAAGGGACTCGTAGGAATTTGCTAATGTGTTGTTATTAGAAAAAATTAATAGTGTGAATATGCATAAAGTCGTTAAAAAAGATAAAATACTAGGGTTAAAGGTTACATTTTCGTTAATCATTTCATTAATCGTGTCCCTTCCGTAAACTCGCTGGGCCTCTCCAAAGTCGTCTACCTCTCTCTATTATATCTACTTTTCGTTCAAATTTTCAATACCTTTCTCTTCCATATTTCCTTCCTGATGTCCTCTTATTTCAACCTCTCCTGATATTTTACTATCCTTTTTATTGTTTTTTCCCACATCTTCCCACATTAGATAATCTGACGTACCCTTTTCTAATGACAAAACCCACTTGATGTATTTTTTTACATAAAACCTCTACCTCCTTTTTTTCGCCTCACCCCTATACTTCCACCCTATAAACCACTATAAGCACTCCTTTCATAACATTGAATAACATCAGTTTCCTACCCCAGTCATCCTTACATAATTTCTAAATCTAATTCCTGTACCCTTCCATTTTCTGACCTAATTCCTGTACCACATTACAAGGTTATGCACTTTCGCTCGTGGGACACATGAAGGAAAAATGCCGATAAAGAAATAGTAATTAATACGTTACCTGAATCTACCATATGTTGCCATGTTGGAAATCTCTTCTTCACCCTTAAAGATACTCTTTGCAATGTTATAACATACGCAAGGACAGCATATCGTACAATGTTTCGCCTCATTAGTCTTTGTCGCTCATCCTGCAAAGAAACATTTCACTTTTAAGGCAAATAATTCTCTAATTATTTAATATTAGAATGTAATGTAAACAAATAATTATACGTAATAAAAATACAAAAAAAATACTACTACTAACACGTAATACGTAGTCAGATAATTGTTATCTAGTCAATCTTCCCTAACTCTGCGTTAAAGATAATTTATGTTAAGGGAAATTTCTGATTTTTTTTAATACAGCTTTTAATTTTTGTTTGAAATCACCGTTTTACGAATGTTAATATGTTATGGTCAGACGATATAAGTACTGCGTTCGTGTTACCTATTCCTATCATACGAATCTTATTATCTCAATCTAACCGTTTTTTTTTTTTTGCTGTTTTCCATTATACATAAACTATATCTGATCCGGAATACTAAAGGGTAATATCTGGAGGCACTGTAGAATGCATCTCGTGTTAGCACCACTATGCAGGGGATGTAAAAAATATGCACAAAAAGTACCCCAGTTAACGAGCCGTCAATGATTTAAAACAGTTGCCGCACTATTTTACCGCCTTTCGTTACCGGATGCGTCAACTGACGAAATACACATACCTATTCGTGACCCTCGCAACAGCTGATACGTAGACAAGTCAATTGTACGTTATAATTAGTAATAATCTGCACTCGTTAACGTTCGATTGGCAAATATTGCTATAAAATACAAAAATAAGTTGAGTATGAAAATATCCAACAAACACCAATGTACTTATTTACATGTAAAATATGCGGACATGGTGGTCACATATGGATGATGCAATAGGAATACCAGAGTAGTTGGGGCTTTCGGTTAAGTCATGACCCTCATGCTTATTTATCGCTCAGTTGATTTTTCCGAAGAAAATTAATAGAAATTCTAACTAAAGAGACAACTCGATCTCAAATCTCAAATTAAACATTAAAGAATGTAATACGTTATTTAAACATTAAATTTATTGATTTGATGCATTTGATTTATTTCTCAGTCAGTTTTTGCAAATTACAAATTATACAGTTTATTTGGCAACAGTAAATACTAAACTGGCAATGACATTTCCATTTCAGGACCGTACTTGTTCATTTAATTGTCTGATTATGATTTATGCATTTACTTCATTTCTAAAAGTTCACATTCCATACTAATACGTATGAAATAATTGGTAGAATTTTAAAAATAATAGATGGCGTAAGTGTACAATGACACGACCTAGACCTGTACCTTCGCGAACACTATGAGGATCAAGATTGCAAAGTCACATTAACATTTGCAGAATAGAATAGAATACGAAATTAATTGTTTGTAATAACGAGTTGTAGAACCAATAAAATTTATTAGGCGTGCTCACGATATTCGCCGTATATTTATTTTATAACGGTCGCTGATATTCGGTCGTCAGCAAGTCAGATAATCCAGGCTTAAAGAAGAGTAGAAAAATATAAAACAAAGGATAGTGCAGGATTGAGTCGCCTTTAACACAAGAGAAGTAATTTTTCTGTTTGCAAATGATTAATCTAGAAATTTTAAAAAGATTGTTAAGGGTGCACGGCGGTGTACGTGTGCGAAGTGTAGACGGTGGGCGCAGAGAAAAAAAGAAAAAGCTAGAAACGTTTCAAATATGTTAAAGGTTAGAGATGAGGGAACTGTGGATAGAGAACGTTAGAAATGAAGAGGTACTAGAAAGAGAAAGAGATATATTATAAGCAGAAATAGGAGTTACGAGGAGTAGATTTAGACCTGGATTAGATAGTTAGTTAAGGATGCGAGATGATTTAGTTTTAGGGATACGAAAGAGTGAAAGTGTGTGTCCAATCAGTCTTAGGACTGACGACTTTATAATTATGATGATACTGGAAGATTATGGTAATGCTTCATTGGTTACATACAATGTAAAAAACTTCCCGAAGTGAGTTAGTTTTAATATGAAATATTCTCAATTTTTACCCACTACACACTACCTCAAATTAATGAAGAACAAACAGAAAAACTCAAAACCCCAACGCCAAAACACGACACTGTAGTTGTCCGAAGCACTTTTCGGTAACAAAGTTACCTTCTTCAGGGACTGAAGTAAACTGAAAAGTGCTTCGGACAACTACAGTGTCGTGTTTTGGCGTTGGGGTTTTGAGCTTTTCTGTTTGCTCTACAACAACCGCCAAAGTTTTTCCAATTTCATATTTCAAATTAATGAGGAAAAATTGTTGCTGTTGTCACACCCCCGCCGGGAATCGAACCCGGGCTCTTTCTGACCACTAAGCTACGAGATATGACCAAAGATGGCCAAAGAGCCCGGGTTCGATTCCCGGCGGGTGTGTGACAACAGCAACAATTTTTCCTCATTAATTTGAGGTAGTGTGTAGTGGGTAAAAATTGAGAATACGTGATTGTTTACTTGCAGAAGGTAGAGGTATTTATAAGAACGTTTTCCTTTGAGAGTTAGTCGTTAGCGTAATGCTTACTTCGTTAAGTTAAAACCACATAGTAAAAGTTTTCACTAATAATTAATTTTATTGGAGACCTACGCGCCCGATGTTTATAGATACCTATGCACACGATAAATAAGGACTAATTGGATACAATGCCATATTGGTAAGTACTTTGATGAACAGTTCCGAAAACAGTCCATCTACGTAAGTAGTTATCTTGGGGTTTCTTAGATACAAATAATAAAATAGATACTGCTCATGTAATTTACCCACATCTATCACGTAGAGTTGTTGTTTTTTTTTTATTTGAAACGATAAAAAAATGTAAAACGCCATGGACGTTGTCCTTGTTAAATTGGTGACAAGTGCAGTTTGTAAACCGCACGAAATTTAATGAAGTGATGCAAAAAATGATCAGCGATGCATTAAACGTTGCATTTAGCTTGGTTTTTATAACAGTGGGAGCCTTTACCCATTTCAATATTTTTTGGTAGGCAGGTAATATTCTGTAACCTTCGTGTCTATCCTTCACTCAATTTTTATTCGACTATTAAACAAAATACAGCGAAACATAAAAATAGATTTTGTGGCATGCTTCAGTTTGAATTATATAGTCAGGGGCTGCCTCAAAATTATATAAAATAAAATTAATCAATATTTAACCCCTCCCCCCGTGTAACAGTTCCTTAACGTTCGGCTGGATCCTCTCAAGTTGCGTTATGTAATTTATGGATATTTTCCCTTAGACACGAACTTACATCTCAGTCTCACTGAATTTCATGGAACCTTTCAAACGGGAAGGAAAAGTAGGGTAACAGTGAATATGAAGGTAGAAATGGCTTATTTTAGGTATCTAGGAATTCCTATAACTCAGGATGGAAACAGCAAAAGAGATATAAAACAGAGAATAGAGCAGGATCGAGTCGCTTTCAATAAAAAAGAATTACTTACTTCTATGCTCGCAAATGGTTGTTTTAGAAATTCGTAAAAGTTTGTTTAAGGGTTGGAACGCGGCGCTGTACGGTTTCGAAACATGGACGTTTGATGCGGAGGAAAAGAAAAGGTTAGGTTAGGTTATGATGGATATGCCGTGGATAGAGAAGGTTAGAAATGAAGAGGTATTAGAAAGAATAGGAGAACAGATGACTCTACTGAAGTCAATATTAAATAGGCGAGATAGGTTGGTAGGACACCTTCTTAGGGATGTTCTAGTTTTAGGGAAATGGGAAGATTAGCTCAAGATAATAAGGTATGAAGGTGGGTATTCAACCAGTTAGGACTGACGACCTTATGATGATGACGATTCAAACGTTTGAGTCTTAAGTGTATTGTACAATTGCCATCATTCTTTTAAATATAATAAATCCTGTCACTTGTTATCTTGAACTTGAATGTTTTTTAACTTTTGGTGATAGTTGTTAATTTTCGTACTTCTAATACCGATGACTATTACGTAAATCTTTTTTAAGATTGCACTCAGTTTTGGATGAAATAAAGCAGTTTGCTACGTGCATACCGAAAGGGTATTTTAACACAATACAAGTGGTTAATTGGGAAATTTCTAGAAAATTTTAAGGTATATTTTCTGTCACTACAGAGGTGAAGAGTTCACGAGCTGATGCACCCCCTGCTCTATATCCCAATTAACAATTATGAATAAGCAGTTATGTTTTTATCATTTATATCGTCAAATGAGGATTTCAACTAACAAATATTTTAATAATTACACGGGTAATTTTGTGAGGTGGACATATGGATTTATAATAGATTTCTACATGTATGTACATGGGTTATATAATAGGAATGCGAACTTTTATCGGGACATTTGGAAATGAACGAAAACAATTGTTTTGTAATCAGTTCTGTGCTTTGCTTTTAAATAATAATATCACTTGAACAATGGCACAGAAAAGGAGCACGTGATCGACCAATGCAATTTGCGCAATTGGTAAGTAATGTGGAATATACATATGTACATATTCAAAACAACAAAAAAATGTCCAAACAAAATTTGACCCGCCACGTTTATACATTGTATAACTGCTCGGAATGCGTTAATACGTATATACGCACGCAATTTTCAAACTATGTAATAGGTACTTATTCCATCGCATTTCTTTTTAAATTAAATAAATTGCTTGTGCTTAGAGAATGTTAAAATTCAAATTCGAAACTCATCATGATTTGTACACAGAAGAACGAGAAAGCACGACATTCCCTCCCAAGTGTAAAAGTAATTGCTACGCGAGCCGAAGTCTAAGGCGGGAAACGAGAAAACTCCCGTGTGTCATACTTTCTTCTTGAGGACGGTATACGACAATTTACGTTACTCCTTTCCTGACATTATCATAGGGTCGTCAGGCCCAAGACTGGTTGGGCACGAGCCTCCTATTCTGAGCTAACCTTAGCATTTCCCTAAAACTAGAACAACCCATATCCTTTACTATTTGTGAACAGTAACCTAATCTAGGTCTACCTCTACCCCTCCTAACTTCCGTTTCTGCCTCTAATATGTCTCTGACTAGATCTTCATGCCTTAGAAGGTGTCCTACCAACTATTGACTATATAGAGTCCTCTGTTCTCCTATTCATTCTAATACCCCTTCATTTTTAACCTTCTTTCTCCACGGTATCCTCATCATTCGCCTGTAACATCACATTTCGAACGCTTCTAACCTTTTCCTTTCACACCCTTACAGCGCCATACTCCAAACATACACCTTTGGCAACCTTTTTCGAATTTCTAAATTAACCGTTCGCTACCACAGAAGTGATTTAATTTTATTGAAGGCTACTCGACATGTGCTACCCTCTGCTTTATATCCCTATTACTCCTTCCGTCCTGACTTACCCATTTGACTTCCTAGATAACTAAAATCGGCCACTTCTTCTAACTTATAACCTATATTTATATTCGCTCTTTCCCTACTTTCGCGGATAAAAAGTTGTGTACAGTCCTCAGGAAGAATTTCCAACTGTTTAAGTAATAATAATTTAATATATCCCTTTCTATTCGTACCTATTTCTACTTCAAACATCTCTATCTAACCCTTCATGTCTCAGACAAGGTGTCGCCCCATCCTGTCTCTTCTTTTCCTTGTTGGTCTCTATACAGTGTCCTATTTGTTCCAATACCTATCCTCTTTTTACGCGTGCTATTTAAACAATTTATTATCAAATGAATGATAAATTTATCTACACAGATATTTCGAAATAATTATTCCTAAAACAAACATTCTTTCTCCTACTTACGATACGTTGCTTTTTGAATTAATTTAATTACAAATCGCTGTAAAATTTGAGCCGCATGTAGGCATATTTGCATTATAATTAGCGATTTTGAGGCACTCGTTCTAGTTTAAAATAATTAACGTTAACTAAATAATTTATAAACGTCCGTAATAATTGCCATTTTCTTGTCCTGACAACAATAAATAAATAATGCTCCTACTTACAATTATATGTTACCTTTAATTCCAAAATAATTGTCGCCGCCATTTAACTGCGTTTAACAATTCAAACTTGATGACGCTTTTTTATGCAAGAATACAACGAAGGTGAACTAATTTGAAATGAGCGAAACACACGGTGAAATTTTTATTTGTCTGAATAATTTTATTTGTCATTGTTTTGGAATCAGATAGTAAATTTAACAACTCGACCCTGGCGGAAGCCGTACATTCACAATAAAATAAATCAATCAGGGTCACACAAAGTGCGTAATTAGTATCAGTGGGTCAAGAATATAACAATCGTTTATTTATCGCTCACATTTTGCAACCCAACTATTGTCAAATTGTGAGCGAAGCATTACGATTTCGCTTGAGAAAGTAATCCGTTATATATGGTAACATCTGATGGTACTGATGATTTGGATGCTGCTCTAGTGTTTCCTGTATTGTCAAAAAATACCTCTGATTTCTAATGATGAGACACGATATAAAATTATTACGTATGAAGACGAAATAAATTATTCTGGCGATAGTTTAATGGAGCAATTAATATTTTAACGTTCTCTAATAAAGGATAGCGCGCAGCATTCCGATAAGCGCTTTTACATTAGAACGTTGTTAAGATTACAGCACGGTATTTTCTTGTATCCTGTATGCATTTAACCAAGGTGATTTGCCTTATCTGATGGTTACTTCCGTCTGTGATTGTACGCTCACGGTAATACATAATACTGTCCGTATAAACAGAGAAAGTTTACGTTTAATAATTGTCGGAATACTAGAAATTAATAGTCCATGTGATAGTGCAGTCGCGGATCTACTAAAAAAACCCATTACATATAATCAGCTTTTTAAAACATTTTTATTTCGGTAGAATGTAATTTTAGGAATTATTTGAAAACTGCAGTCCACTCAAGCGATGGCATACATTTATTGTTTATATTTAATTATATTCTATCTCTTGTGCCTCATATAGGAACGTATAATGTCACATAATCTGTAATCACATAATCCTTTTAATACGTATAAATCCTTTAGAATATTATTTAATAGATTTTCAGTCAATTAAAAATTGTATTGTGCAATTTCTAAAAATATTAAAATGTTAGTCATCACCACATTTCAGTTCCTCATAGACATAAATGTTACTTCATTATTGTCTTTTCAAGCTTGCTTAGTAACAAAGCGCGAACTTTGAACAAATATTGCATATATACATATGTACCGTATGTGCATATTATGAAGTGCAAATGTTATATTTATTATTTCTACTTAAATTAGACTTAAACTTTTGAAGGGGTGAATAGCATTTTCGTTTTAGCTTCCAGGGTGTTAACCCCATGGTTGAAATTTGTTGTTTTGGTATTATTTATATGCATAAGTAGTAGTACCTAAATACGTACAATTGTTGAAAAGTACTAAAAATGAGATGTACCTACTCACCCCGCCTGGAATGGCTGCGTTGAGAAAAAGGGCGAGGGTGTCTGGCCAAGGCAGCAGTCTGTACTGCTCCCACCACCGTCTTACCACCAAAGATACGTAAAAACCCAGCACAAACGACATGGGTATCGTTTCATTTTGATGACTGAAGTATGTTCGTATTTTTTCAAATATTCTGCAACAATAAAAAGAAAAAAGAATGTAATTATAGCCGAAACTTATTAAATTAAAAGTAATCTCAGTCAGAGTTACCCGAAATAAAAATATCCAGTCTCTCAGAATCTCTGAAAGCGAGACTCGAGTCTCCGTCTCTCATCGAGTCTCTCTGATGTCGCTGAGAGAGACTGTCAAGAGACTGTCAAAAAAACTGTTTAGCGTCTCTGAACGAGAGACTCAGTCGCTCATAGGGAGATCCTCATTTCGTATCCAGTCTCTGAACGAGAGACTCGAATCTCTCAATTATCAATTTTATCGTTCGAGTCTCTCATGCAGAGACTGCGAGAGATCCATAAAAACACTTAGGCAATAACTGAGAGACGCTCTCAGAGACGCTGAAAGACTGAGAGACTGGAGAGAAACTGAACATTTTTGTCTAGGGTATGATTTATTCAATAATTTGAAAAGAGTCCCAAGATTTATTTATCTTGAATATTACCTGCATGTATTAAAAATGTTTTGTACAACTAGGAACATACATATGCTACATATAACGAATAGCAATTTAAGTTACTGCAAATACCTACACTTTCGCCATTTCCGTTAATTTTTAATTATTTATTATAATATCGAAAGAGGCATATTAAAAATACAACAACCAATTACTTTCTTATAAAGTAAAAGTACAATTATATAAAATTTCTTTCCGATAAAGAAAGTGCCATATGCCTTTCGAGCATGTTGCAGTTTAGCGTATTGTAAACATTTCTTAGAATTTCCTTTTACATCTAATTATTATTAACATTAATAAGTACATGAATAAATGTGTTTATGTAGTATGCAGCGTGCGTAATGCTAAATAAACAAAATTTTCACAGACCAACGTAATCTGAAACAAAGGAGTTTTCGTTTTATGCTGATGTTTATTAAACATACAATTTTATTATTTAAATTTTTGTTGCAGGTTATGGTTTGAATCGACATCATACTATCGGTATTGGTGGTGAGTTATTTATAACAAATTTCTTATTATTTACATTAAGGGATCATCATCAAGGTACAAATTAAAGTCCAGTTGGATCCAATATAAAGGACATTACTATTGTAATTATCCTAATATTGTTTGAAGGTTGGCAAGGGTCTTGAACTAATCCACATTTTATTTCCAATTGGAAATTAACAATAGGAAGCGAGTGAGCGGGTCTAAATGTTTCTATTCGGCTGTATGGTTGGTTACATATACTTGCTACGTGTACTACCACCAGTCACATGTAGATACAATCGCCATCGTCCAAATTTAAATTATGATTAATTGTTACAGTTTGCCCATAAAAGTTTTGACTTCGTATTAAAATTGGATGATTTTTTTTCAAACTCCAAAAGCAAAACGTTTTGAAACTAATCGAAGTTGAAGCAGACATGTCAGGTCCATTCCATCAAGGGAAAGTACCTTTCAAACTACAGTTTACTGACCGATTGCTAATATTAGTAATATCGTCTAAAAAGTGTAGCCGAAATAAAAATTGTAGAAAGCACCGAAATCTGTGGAACGATTTTTGCGTAATGTTGTTTTCTAAGGACGTTTACAAACAAAAATAAATACATGCCCACTCAAAATGAGAAATCATTACTCAATATTGCTGAGCAACCAATAAAAATATCGATTATCTAGGTTAGGAATCGTTTGCTTAATTGTTTCTTCGATTTTTGCAAGCGCGCAATTACAATTATAGAAATGCGTTCGTACCTATATCTAATACTGTTTTGTCATTGGTAATAAGTGTTTAATTTTCAAATGATCTACCACCTAAACAAATTTTTTTTGGTCGCGCATTCTCTGCTTCATGTTTTTGTTGTTTATGATCGAGCAGTTATTCAAATTTGTAAAGTGAATATGATTAAAGTTAATGAATATATTATACTCCTATTCAGACTACCAATTTTTATAAGACACCCTGTGTAAATTATGTACAAAACAAAAGTAAATAATTGTTATATTTCACAGTAACTGATCATTTATTTTACGATTCTTTGTCAACTTCTACAATAAAAAAAAAACAATATTCACACAAAACCAAACTATAAAACAAGTAGGTATTAAAAATGTTATTTATCACGATTTTTTAATTTCCATAAAATTGCTCATTTTTTTTTCTATNTAGGTAGTCGTAAAAATGAAAAACATTACTTAATCGTCGTAATCATTATTATAACTAAAAACAAGCAGTACTCATAAAAATTGGGTTTGCCCTTGTACTCCTAATTGCATATGTCAAAAATAATAGAAAACTATAATAAAAAAAGATGGTCGAACAAATTAAGTGTTTCCATAAAAATTCAATCTATTGTGGACACAATATTGCGATAGGTGCTCATTACGTATGTCGTATATGCATTGAGCAAAGATAAATTGCGTTACTGCAACATGCAATTTACAATTGAATAATATAGAAATAAATAGGCTAACAGTTCTCTCCACACTAATTTGTATACACTCCCTCTCCATCTGCAAAAAAAAGAAAACAAAATTAGATAAATACCAGCTGAAAGGGTAGTTTGAAAATGCCACCATAAAGATTTCACAATAAAATGAAAACGCCATTTAAAAGTATCACAAAAACGACATAACAAATAAAAACGATAATGATAAATTGCATCTATAAATTAATATGAGATAATCATTATTGTTAAAAATTTTTTGTTATAAAGTTTAACAATAGTGCATATTTCGTCTTACGTAACAGCAATTTGTTAATAGCAAGTATGTGCTAAATTTTCTAAAACAATTAAATTGTACAACAGTTCCAAGAAGATCTTCTCATTAATTAATTATTTAACTATGTGAAGTATATATATGCAAAGGCAATTTTTTATTAACTTTTCAGCACCTTGTGAATATTGGTTCCTAATTCTACAATACTGATCCCACCTTAATTAAACAATTCCATGATGGTTTTATTAGGTGTTACTTTAATTTATCGTTCGATAGATATTTAATACGCCATAATATTTCATCATAAAATTAGTAAGTATTTGATTGTTTAACATCAGGTATTTCGTCAATTTTTAAACACGGTAGCAATTTTTTGTTGTATGTATATTTCTTTGTCATCGTCAAATGCATCTAATAATATGCATTCGATAAATAATCGCAGTTTCTAAACAGTTTTGAAAGTTCAATCTTCACATTCAAGAAGTGAACTATTGCAACACCAACTTATAATTATATGTTCCCGCAAATGTCGAAGGAAATAGCTTATAGATACCTTGTTTTTGCATTGAAGCAATAGATGTTAAAGAGTTTGAAACAAGCATCAATTTGAAGACACATAAACAAAAGTGCAACTTGTTAAACGAATGATTAACAAAAGCTCTACGAATATGTTCTCATTTTTTTTTCAACCAAAAACACGTTTATTTTTAGGATTATAGAACATAGTTCATCCCCGCACTGTTTAGATTAGAATGTATAATTTTTAGTACAAAAGTGGTTAAATGAGATATCAGATGAAAAGGCTTTCATCCTTACACAACATTTGTGCTATTGTATTCGTCTCATTAATTATTTATTGACCGCCATGTGTTTATGCAGATTAGTAAGTATACAAATGGTCAACACTTATTGATAAGTATTTAATTTTGAATTGTAAAAATATTGCAATTATGCGTTGTACCACGACCTAGGTCCTTGATAAAGGACATAAAAAAGACTTTCGGGTCAATTTTTCCAACTGTCAGTAGTTTTCCAATGCTGAGAGAAAAACATGTCGATTGTGCATGTTCAATTAACCGAATCGTGTAATTTGAATGTTCCAGTTGCACCAATACATTCAGCCATGTTGTTTCCTATCGTGTAGTTCACGATTGTTTAGACTTTTAGCACGCAAAAGCAAAAATAATTCTAATGTGCAAAACTGCATCCTGTTCGACGGTTTTTTTCCATCATCGAACAAAACTAATAATTTGAATCACACACTAAGGCTTTTATTCTGTGATTACATATTATCAGTCAAATCTGAACAATTTATATTACTCAAAACTAGCATTGAACGTGTGAAATATCGACTCAAGCATTCTTTAGGGAGTCATTAATGAATAAACCTCCAACGTGATAAATACTTGCAATAATTGTTATTTCGTGAAGGTCAGAAAGGACGATCCAACAGGTGTATTAACAATTAGCTGTATTTTGTTTTTAGCTAGATGAAGTTCCATTGTTTCAAAGCTATTGTCTTATTTAGTAGTAGGTAATACGTAATACGGCAATTTCTATTCAATAAAGCTAAGCACATTTTGCAACATTTCAATAAAAGGTCATTTGAAATTTATGTTAATTTTTCGGGTTTTTAAGTATCAATTTGGAATTTTGTCAAAATTAGAAGAATTTGCCGATTTTAGGTATCTATGAAGTCACATAGTTCAGGATGGCACAGAATCGAGTCTTCTTTAACAATAAAAAAAAGTCGCTCGCGAACGTTAATTTAGAAATTGGAAAAATATTTTTAAATGTGTATATCTGGAGCACGGCTGCGTACGGTTGCGAAACATAGACGGTAAGTGAAAAAGAAAATGAAAGAAGCGTTCGAAATGTGATGTTACAGGCGAATGATGAGGATACCGTGGATAGAGAAGGTTAGAAATGAAGAGATATTAGAAAGAATAGGAGAACAGAGGACTTTATGGAAGTCAATAAGAAATAGGCGAGATAGGTTAGTAGGCCACCTTCTCAGGCATGAAGGTCTAGTCAGAGACATATTAGAGACAGAAACGGGAGTTAGTAGGGGTAGAGGTAGACCTAGATTATATTACTGTTCGCAAATAGTTAAGGAAGTGGGATGTTCTAGTTTTAGGGAAATGCGAATATTAGCTTAAAATAGCAACAAGTGGAGGTGCGTGTTCAACCAGTCTTAGGACTGACGACCTTATGATGATGTTTATTTTTGAAGCAGTTCATATAAATAAACATTTTGTTGCACTAAATTCGTCATTTTGAATTTTAATTTCTCAAAATCAAAGAAA